ATATTTATCCATACAAAATAATTTTATACAACTTTAGTAAACATGTTCGGTGGAATTATAAGTTTATGCCCAAACACGTAGCAAAGAATTGTTGCACATGGTTCCCTATAAAGTATGGATAAAGATGGATCAATTATATGAATGCACCGTTGGTGTGGTGGTTGGGCAACTGGCTATCGTGCAACGTGTCACGGGTTCGATTTCTGCACAGAACAACTCTTTGTGTGACCCACAGATTGTTATTCCGAGCCTGGGTGTCATGTATGTGTGAACTGGTATGTTTGTAAACGCACTCATGACACAGGAGAAAATCCTAGTGTGGGGCGACGTTTTTTTTGTTTTAAATAAAAAATGAAATGAAATGAAATATTCTAGCCACAATTTCAACTGAATCTATATCACTTATTCAGTAATCAATTCTAAAAATATACACAGACACATTTTAAAGGCCTCTCCGAGCTGCATAAACATAATTAAATGTTACCTCGAGCTATTTATACTGTGATAAAACGGTCTACAGTGTTCCCATTAGGTGGCGGTCAGCTCGTCCGTCATTTAAAAACGAGGGTGTCAGTTGTAGGGATTGCAGTGAGTTAAATATAGCAGAATATGTTACCCCTTTGAGTACCGTTATTATAGACACAATTAAAGAACAATAGGTTGCGGTCACCGTTGTCCTCGCGGTGTTTGACAGTTTAATGCTTCTTTTGTTTAGATTTTTAATGCCGCATTCACACATTCGCGGGAATTACGAACATGCATGTGCAAACACTGAGTTTGCTACTCGCGAACACAACTCGAAACACGAACTCACTGTTTACACATTCGCCTGCATTCAGTTGACAGCTAGCCCCCAACTCGTCGCGGAGAACCTAACGGGTCGCGGAGAACCTAACGGGTAACCGGGGCTCCGGCTCGACGTGCAGGAGAAGGAACGGGGTGGTTTTTAGTCAGTAAGAGTCTGACACTCCGGGAGCGGTCATTCGATGATTTTCCCCCCTTAAAAAAAAGCCTCCAACTCACCGTGTGCTCAGAGATGTGGTCGGCGACGGGGACCTCTCGCGTCCGGCACTGGTTTGCGCCATGGTGCGGAGCGAGGGGGACTGGGATGCCGTCTCTTCCTTAAGAAGGAAGCAGTCATACTAGTTCTGCGAAGCAGTCATACTAGCCTAGGAGGAGGCGGGGCGCGTGAGGGAACGAACCTCCTCACGCCCCAGCCGCCGCGGGAGATATTCCGAGCGTTGGAGATTGCGCGACGATCTCCGGCCACCGTAAGTGCGGGTCTGCGAACGGTGTGCAAGGGTAACTTGCCGCCCGACTAGAACCAGACCCGTGCGTACGGTGCGTCGCGATCCGCACACGTCTAAAAGAGCCATCAGACAACCACAGATGGAACCCGGAACGGCTAATGGCCGATACGGAGCCGCGGAAGGAATATATAGTAAAATTACGTAAATGTATAAAAATGACACATTCCGCGAATGTTTTAATGGTAGTTCGAGACCGCATTTGTCCACAAATGTTCGTGGAATGTTGAGGCGAATGTGTAAATGTGGTGTAAAGAAATTATTTATTTGAATTTTTGAGTATGTATTATAGTGCTGTCCCATTTTACATACGTTACAATACAATACATGACGTAATACATGTACCCCATACGATATGTTTAGAATATATTGACAGAAAATCTACTATAATAGGCTAGTTATCTATTGTTACGTGAAGTAGTTCGACTGGCGGATATTTTGAGGAGCTTTGGAAGTTATTGGGATAAATGAAATACAAACATATCCAATACATGGAACATGCATTTTTACTGAACAGTTACATTTGGAGATATATTCCACAAATTTTCTATAGGTTACATAAACAATATAAAAGCCTAAAAAAGGGCTTACTCACATAAATATACTGAGAAAATCTCTACTAGTTTCGAGTCACAGAGGGACTCTTCGTCGTGAACAGCGTGCGCGGTCACAGCGACGTCGCGTAGCCTACTCGCCTATGTCTATTATTTTTACTTAATTCAGTAAGTCTCACGATAGTTATTGTAA